AAAAATTATATTATTATCGTTATATTCACAATTGAAATGGAATACTAAAATTAACTTGAGAGTTTTAAAACGGTGAAAATCACATTTGTGGTTATGCGTCATAACCAAATATGAATAAGGAAAATAAATATTGAAGAAGGACAGAGATAGGATAAAAATATTGAAATCAGCGCCATCTCTAGAATGCCGTAAATGAAACACATAAAGAAAAGACAGAAAATGATGAAAGAAGGATGGAAATAGAATAAGAACTGATCATTTGCGCCATCTTTTGACATCCACAGATATTAGAAATAGGAAAACTTCTAAAAATATTCGAAAGATGGCTCTGAGAGTCAATTCTCTATGTCTATCTTTTTCCTATTATTTTCTATCCTTTTTTTCTATGTTTCATTTATGGCACTCTGAAGATGGCGCTGATTTCAATATTTTTATTCTATCTCTATCCTTTTTCTCACTATTTCTTCTCTTTCTTTACAATTATTTACAAAAATGTACTCAGGAGATTTCGATATCTGATTATTGTATATCTTTATTGTTTTTTTTTCCTAATTAATTAATTTATGAATAATTTGATTTATATACTAATTTGATTTGTTTACTATTTGCAACGATCAAAAGATAGCGATGAATAGAATTATATAATACAATTTATATAATATATAGGAATATTTATGAAAAAATGTATCAAAAATAATATTTTAATCGAATTTTAAGACAAGTTCTATAATAAATAAGAATTATATAATCTTATTAATAATACGTATGTATAAAAATCTAAATTAATTGAAAAACTAATCTTAAATTGTTTGTTCGAAATAAATTGAATCTTTATTTAATCGATACGGAACAGAGTTACATATTCTAGACCGAGACAATATAAATATGTTCATTTATTTTAAATAGCGATATAATAAAAATTATACTTATAGTGTTCTTAGATTACTTGTTATTTAAATATATTTGTTATAAAAAAAATATTATGTAGAGGAAAAAAAAATTTGCCAGGTGTGGGGTTCGAACCCACGCTCCCAATTGGGAACCAGAACTTAAGTCTGGCGCCTTAGACCGCTCGGCCAACCTGGCTTGTTGGTGACATCGTTCTCTATATTACTATATATATATATATTGAATAACTAACAAATTTTGTTTTTTATTTAATGTTTTTAAATATATACTAAAAAAAAATTTTAACTCCGTTTATAATATATTAAAAAACATTTATATTTTTTATCCATTGGGCAAAATAGAATTTTTAATATATCTTATTCTTTTCCTATTAATATCCAAATTTTCTTTTTTTTAAATTACATTGCAAGCTCGATTTACTTGAAAAGTAAAAGTTTCTCAACTATAAAATTTAATGTTTTTTATCTTTTTAATTCTTTTCCAAAAAATAAAAGAAAAAATATATCTTTTAAACATATTTTATTCTATTCTGCTCTATCATAAAAAATAATCATTAAACATTAAGTAAAACAAAATCCAATTTATTTTCATAAGATTAAAAAGAAATTGTAGTAAAATTCTTAACATTTACAAAAATTTAACACAGATGTATACGTATTATTTGAATAATTATAAAGTAAGAAAAGTAATTGTAGCAAAAAAATATTTGACAAAGAATTTTTATCGAATATAAATACAACGCTATATTTGTAAAATTATGGAATATATCTAACTTTTATTTATTTATTATCTTATTATCATCACTATTTCGAAACATAAATGAAACAGCTTTATTTTTCGGATACCGCACGCTATTGTAGGAGTTGCAGAATAAAGGTAACTCAATAGCGGAGAATAAAGATTATCGGTAATCAGCAGATGGTAATATTCTTTTAGATCGATGGAAGTACAATGCATTGGAAGAGTGGTGTTACTAGAGCTTACAAACAGAATTCAAATGGAACCGACTCGGCGAAAAAGCAGATCTTATCGCAGCGAACTGTCAAGGGTGCATCACGAGATTGCTCCTATCCCTGCCGGCTCCCAACGGCCCCGGTTCATCCCCTTTGACGCCGGACTCAAATTCTACCCCGATATCGCTCTGACGCAAAAGAGCATACGGAGTAACACGTCAATATATTTTTGGAACTTGATGTAATTGCTATTAATACGGAAAGCAATATGAAATGCGAATTTCAACAAATTTTATCCATATTTTTTTGTATTATTTTTATATATCGTCGAGCCAAAAGAATAATAATAAAATTACGAATATTCAATTAAATATATCATTAATTCTAGAAATATTTAATTCTTTCGATTTACAACGATTATTTAATTATAAAAATATGTTTGATTTGTCTTTTTAACAATAACATTTTACGATATAGTTACAATATAAATTGTAATGATATTTTTTTTTATCGATACATAAATAAATTTATCAATAAAATCAAGTTTATCAAAAATATTAAAAGAATTACGAACTGGAATTAATGAATGAAAAAAAAAAAAATACAACGGTAATAATAAAAATGAAAAATAAAGAATAAAATAATTATTTTTACAAACATTTCACAAAAATTGCTCGTTTTGTGTCCATTTCTCTTACTTTATTTTTCCTTTTTTAGATTCCAATTAGATCGAACGCGACACAAACCTCGTATAGAATTTTATGGGATCGCACGTGGCGAAAAAAAGTAAGCCGACTGTTTGTGGTGGATTGGCGGGCAACGAGGGTGCTGTTTGCAACCAGGGGATCGAAACAATTCGACGAGAAAGTCTATTAATGCATCGAAATATAAAATGTGCAACGTAAACTTCGGTTGTTAAATACGTGCTTTATTTTTTTTTTAACGGTAGTAACGTCAATAATTAATTCGAAAACAGTGGAGGCTAATTACCGAAACAATAAACGTAAAGTAAGATCGATTTGCGATCGCATTAATAATTAGCGAGCGAGCGAGCATGTGCCGCTAGCTGATCGCGGGGAAATAATAAGCAAAATGACGTATGATCACGATGAAAGAACGTGTTTTCGTAGGGGTCGGGAAGGAAAGCAATATTGGAAGAAAAACGATTTCGTATTGTATCCACG